TTGCTGAGCTAAAATAGAGACTACAGAATGTGGTGGGAGCAGAAGGAAGATTCTTTCCTGCCCAGGGTCCCACGGGGCACAGTAAGAGCGTGCCCCATTCCTTCTCTTTCCTGTAATTGCTGTGCAAAAAAACCCTATTTTTGGCAGTTGCTATTCTACGCTTCTGGCATAGCTTCATTTCAAGGGTATGATGTGTATCCAAATTACTGAGTATTTAGGAATACTGTATGACAAATATTACTGATATTCTGCGCAAACACATCATGTGTTGTTTTGTCATACTGACGGGGTGGGAGTTCCTCTTTGTTACAGAACGTATGCTTCAGGTCCCTCTCTCTTAAGGCCCTTGCATTTCAGTTAACTTTCACTCTCCCTCTACCATGTATCTGAAAAGCCTCAGTGGCACAAATTCCTGCACGTTGAACTTGGAGATTTGGGGTTCCTGGACATTCATGAAGGTGTTAAAGGCTCTGGTTGGGCTGCACTGGCATCCTCGCCACTTCCCCAGATGCCCTTCTTATTCTGCTGAGTTTCTACTTCCCTGCTGTGTTTTACGTCGATTTTTGAAGTGAGCTGTGTCTGCACAGTGCCGTGAAATGCTGTGCAGGTAGCTGTAGGGTGAGCGTGGGCTCTGCACAGCACTGCATGCCATGGTGGGAGCAAACCCACAGTCCCCATCACAGTGTAATACCAAACACACGGTATCTCTCCCCTTACAAAAAAGAATCCGAATTTAAGACAGTGATAGCTTTTCACAGATATCTAGTAAGATTTTCTGGAGGGTAAAAAGCAACCAACAAACAACCAGTAGACAAACTCTTGTCCCTTGTGGATGTAAATTGGGTGTAAAACAAGCTATGTTCTTTCTTGCTTGTCCTAATGCAGACTGGATTATTGCCTGCAGTTAATGAACTTGAAAATCAATATTGTTAAAGAAAGTTTCTGACATGGACTTTTAGCAAGATCAGTGACTCAGCTACACCAGCATCAATCCCTGTGTCCGTACCAGCTTTGATATTGCTTCCTGTATTCGTTCTGATGTGAATTGCTTTGTGTGAATGAGTTTGTGATGCTAATGACATAGTAAAGGATGTATTCTGGCTGATGAATCATCCCTTATGTCAGATCTAGGGCTGCGTTGAGATCACACGCAGACTGGTGAGAACCTGGAAGAATTAAAGTCAGTGCAGTTACTCTGGATTTGCACCAAAGTAAAACAGAGCAGAATCTCACCCGTATTTTGTGCAAAAACGAAACAGAAATGTGAGGGTTCTGAAGCACGTTCATGATACAGATTTGTTTTTCTTAACAACAGTGAAACGAATGAGCTTGGAGCTGGTGCCAGATTTGGCTGAACTGCTGCCAAGTCTGGTGTGCTGATTTGTATGGCAACATTGGCAAGCGAAGCAAGCGTTTACATTGACTGCTATATTACACGTTGATGCAGGATGGGGGAAGTGGTTCCAATTACCTCGTGTTCTGCTGTGTGACCACAGCAGTCTGAAGGAACAGTCATCTTTTAATGAGCTCATAATGAAACGCTTGGGCTGAGATTTAAAAGCCATTTAAGGGGCATACAGTGTGTTGCGGCCTTTTATCAAAGCTGCTGTGAGCATGGCATGTTAGAAACCATTTTGGTGATGGGAATGAAGCTATTTCTTTTATGGGTAAGTATAGTTACAGCTATTTCCTGCACATTCCAGGGATGGAGCAGTCAGCTTGCCAATTTGCTCTTGACATATTTACAGATGGAGAAGCCACCTCTGGACTAGTTTCTGCAAACATCATGTTCCATTATGAAAACGTTCCCAAGACTGAGGGTGAAGAGTCTGGCTCAGAATATCTCCATCTCCAGACAGTGTGGGCCCGTGTCTGCGCTCAGCTCTGCTGGGGAAAGTCTGAAGTCATTCCATTAACTTTTCAGCATGTGTTCTGGACTGGCAGTGGAGTGGCTGAGGTTAGAGCCTGACCTTCAGTCTTCAGTACATCCACAGTGGACTAAATTCCTGGACTTGGATGTTCTTTATTTTCTAAGCAGGAAATAGTCCCACAGAGTCCTCTTACAGGATCTACTTTCTCAACAGTGAGAGTCTGAAAACTGCAAGGACATCCACTATTTCCAAATTCCACAATTAACGATGCATTCCCAGAGTGGAGAGGGATTTCTGTAGTTGCCAACAGGGCTGGAGATTCTGCACTTCACGAGCGGTAAAGAGGAGCAGGCAGTCCCTGAAAGCAGCTCTACCAGTGCTGTGGGAATGAAAACTGAACCTAAAGGCCCCTCAATTCTGATATCAGCAAAGCTTTTAAGAGCATTCTTGAATCCTGGCACTAAGGCACATGCTCAGATGTTGTACCAAGCAGAGCTGGCCTGCTGAGCTTAGGCCAGGTTTAGGTAAGAGCATGCTCAGCAAAAAGGCAAAGGAAAGAAAATTGGGCAGTGAGTTATGTGTTGGTAGAGCCCTGCAATGTGATGGGAAAATTCCCACTGCTCTCTGTGAGTCTTAAACGAGACCATGGTTTCTGTATGGGCCAGGGTGTGGTGGAACAGATGGGAATGTGAAAAACCTCTGTGAAAATGCTTGCATTGGTGTCACAGTCCTGCCACTTCACAGCTTGAATGGAGGATTTAAGTTTGCTATCAAAAGGTTTTTTTGCAATTGAGCCAAGGCAGTGTCTCTGCTAAACATCTTTCCAGAATATGGTTTTTATGACCAAATTCTAATCTCTTGGAAAAAAGAGTTAAAAGTGGAAAATCCTACATACAAACCATGTTGCTTCACTAAAAAAGGAGATGGCTACCTTCTATTAATCACATGAGCAGGCACTGCAGATATTATAATGCTGTGGTGTTCATATTGCAACAGGTAGAGTTCTTGGCACTGAAGGTTGACAGCCCGGGTTGCAAAATTACTGAGCAGTGTTCTGCCTGCTTTTACATGCACGCTGCTAGAGCTAAAAAATGGTAAGTGTCAAGAGGACAAGAGTTGGCCCATTGTCTTTGTTTGCTGTGTGCAAGTCATTGGGTGTAAGTGCCTGTACACATCAGGTGTAAATGCCTGTTATTAACAGCAAACAAGATCCAGTAACATGGTGGAACTCTGACTGTAGAAAGCAGGTCAGCTGGTCTGTGCGTCTGCTTGATGAACTGAATGAAGGGAAGCCAAGAGGCTGAGTGTGCTCAGGCCAGGAAAAAGCCACCTCCCGGTGCTCCAGGGGTTTGCTACTGGCTGCCCAGCAGGACATGGCCAGCCAAGGGCCCCCTGTGTGTTCTAAGGAAAAGCAGTGCTTGCTATCTTCTTTAGGAGAGAGTTAACCCCATTTGTAATGAGTTTTGCTAAAACATACTTACTGCTGAAGTCATTGGATGTTTGCCACTGGTTTTGTGACAAGCCAACATAAATCCAGAATGAGGTTGTTCTGGAAAAGGGAGAACTTTGAAGCAGATCTCATCCAAAGCCCATGGAAGCCTTTGTTGTGGTTTGGATGAAGCCTTCTCATGGGATAACATGGGCAGGTATATCCTGTGTGCACGAGGCGAGTGCCTTCTGCTGGTTTAATGTCAGTTGTGTTGCTGGGGTCAGCTTTTGATACTGGCTCCTCTTTTATCCCACTGAAAGCACATGAGCAGTGAGGGTGATGCTCAAGGCAGGATGAGCCAGGGGACAGCAGTGGCCGTGTTACATACAGCCTATGGGGAACAGTGCCCTTCCCTCAGCCCTCAGCCCCTTGGGCCAGGAATTTTCCAGCCCCAGGGTGTCCTGCAGCCTTAGTGCTCGGAGCTGACATTCCCACCACTGAGCACCAGGCGGGAGTGCTGCATTTCGGGGGTCAGAAATACGGGAGCTGCAGCACAGAAACCAAATAGGTGTCAGGAATGTCAACTTGGACAAATATGTTTTTAGGGGTTATAGGTGTCAGCCTACTATGAGTCGTTTTTTATTATTGCACATCTGGATCTGTATGGGTCTGCGCTTTTACCCGATGAAGCAAAGTATTTGAAATACAGCAAAATGTATTGGATGAGAAACATGGAAAAAAAACTTCTTGGCATCTTGTAATTGAAAGTAATTGCAATCTACGTATCATTTAGAAGTATATTGCGCAGGGAATCCTCAGAGTTGTTGAACCTCTTGTTGCTACAGCTTCTGGATGATTTTCTCAGATACTGGCATAGTCATCTTGCTGGCTTCTCACAGTCAGTAAGTACTGGTCGCACTTCTATGCATGTGTTACACATTTACATAGCAGTAAGGCTGTAGATGTGACTCAGGTCATGACTAAAAGAAACAGTGGGATTTTTAATTAAGTCCACTCATTTTCTTTAAGGCTGACAATACATCTGAGAATTTGACATTTATTTATGAATGCATTCCAAATTTGCATGCTGCATATCAAAACCTGAGACAAGCCTAGTGAGAGATGGGGTGGGGTGCTGAGATAGTGTATCTGCCTTGCTCTGCTGCCCGCAAGTGAAATTCTTTCCATCTGAGTCCTAACAAGGTGGTGCTGGGTGAAGCAGAGCCCTTGACAGAAGGCTGTGTCTTGCCCTGAGTCAGCCACAAAGTTCACTTTGTTTTCATCCACCTCTGCCTCTCCTCTGGCATCCCAGCTCTTCCAAGGGTGGTGTCTCCCATCTCCTGTTCTCAGGGTGGGGAACCTGTCATCTTGCCTGCTTGCTGTGCTCTCTTGCACTTGCTCTGCAGGAACAGGCCCTTGGGGTTAAACAGGACCCCCCTCTTTCCGAGTGACTGTCTTCTCAGTTCAGGCCCACACCATAACCTAATACATTTACTTCCCAAACACAGGAGTGCTATGCAGGGAATAAAGGAAAGGCAGTCCCTGCTCCCAGTGTGGGCAGCCTGACGCTTACAGCCCCATGGGGGGCTCACAGTCCCCAGGCAGTGGGCATTATATCATGTTGTATCTCAGACAAAGCTTCTAACCAGAAGCTGTTGATCCTTAAGCAGAAAGTCATTCCTGATGACTCTTCTCCCCAGGGCGGCGCTGACTCTGCAAGCTAAAACAGGAGCAGCAAGCAGTAAATGCATCCACTTGGTTACTGGAGTGAGAGGCTTGGAGTCTGAATTCAGTGGTGATCTAGTGAGTAAGGAGACAGTGTTTAAAGATGGCAATTACTTTGATGGCCTTATCTGTTCTTTGAAGTCAAAGAGCCACTCCCTGCCCTGTACACACGTGATAAGCCCAATCAGATTCCACGTATCTTCTCTGCAAAAACATGGGGCTGAGTTGACTCAGCTGGGACTGGAGCCTGTGACTCTGAGTGTGGGTGTGCTGTGTTTTTCCCATATGCATGCTGAGGGGCTAGCCTTGGCATAGTGCAGCCAGGCTGGCATCAGCATGAGCGGCTGCCCAGCATGCACAACCTAGGCCTTGCTGAATTAAATGCCAGAATAGGCAACATCCCCACTGCCCCGATGCTGCTAGCCCTCCCTGGCAATGCAAAAACTGATGCCAGCTGTGCAGTGATCTCCATGCAGACGGTCAGTGACTCAGGAGAATTTTTCTTCAGATGACTTCAGATACGTACACGGCTTTCAGATGCCAGTCCTGTAGTAGGGCTTCAACCTTAAGCTGCAAGGAGTCCACATCTGGGTCATTCAGTGTTGGGTCCTTGTGGTGTTCCTGCAGGCTGTGCGTGGGGAGGCAGCGCTGGGCTGTAGTCAGCCAGCTAGAAATATCAGGGGCAACAAAGCAGAGCAAAATTAGTTACAAAGCAACTGAAATTTTTTCATCCCTCCCCCTCACATTTTTTAACAAGATTCTTTTACCGCTAGGAATTTCATCCTAGAGAAAGCTGGCGAAGGTCTGAGAGGCAGAGTGCACCTCTGTTGCCCTGGGGAAGGAGCAAGGAGAGATGTTACTGTGAAAGGAAGGCCAGCAAGAAATTGCCTTGTCATCTGAATTAAGTCTTCTAATGCATTAGTTAATGTAGCAACAGTGCTTTTCGGTAGCCACAGCTCGTTAAGGAGCAGCACTTGGAGTGATCCATCAGTTCACGTAGAGGTAACTTCAAATCAGTGAACAAGTCATGCTAAGCTTGCTGGGGAGTGCTTGATCCTACATTAAATGATTTAATAGCAGTGTACTAGAACTCCTCATAGAAGTAGATATTGGTGGGGTTTTTTTCTTGTTTTTTTTTTCTCTTTTTTACCCAAAGAATGTACATTCCACCTTCAGGCCAAAAAAGGAGGGGGGGAAAAAAAAAAAAAGTATTGTGTTTGTAAAACACTGATTTGGAGCCAAAGGATTTCATGTCAAATTCTCTCAGATCCCTACAGTAATTGCAAGCAACACTCACAAAATCTGAGCTCAGAGAGCTTCAGTGTTGAAATTCAATCCATTTCAGGTCAAGAAGCCAGTGGGGAGATGTTGTCTTTGACAAAAAGACAGGTGAAGTTAGTTTAGAGCAGAGACAAAAAATAACTCGAAGCTACAAAATGCAGTTGTCAGAAATGTGTTTCACTTAGCAGGCTAAAATGGAATTAGGCCTGATTCAGCTCTGGGATGGTCAGTGCTGACTCACCAGTGCCCAGCCCCAGGCCGGGCTCGCAGCTCTGATTCTGCTGGGGATGTGAGCTTCATTTTACATGCAGTGTAAGACTGTTACCTGGCTTGCAGTGGCACTGTGCATAATAGACTCACCTGAGATATGATGAAGTGTAAAAATACCCTTTGAAGTGACAACTGCTTTTGTCCCTAAAATACGTAGAAACTTTACAGTGCTTCCTTCTTGGCTTCCTTTCACACTTTGTATAGCAAAAATGGGAAAAGAAAAGAAAGTAAAAGGAGGAAAAAAGCAGCTTCTTCAGTACTGGAAGTGAGCTTATTGCCAGTTGCTTTTTAACGCTGAATTACCAGGAAATTTCAGGTCCCTGAAAATAGTCATCTTTTAAACAAAATAGAAAAGAATTGTAAAGAGGGAAGAAATCCCCACCAGTCTCAGAGAGCATGAGAAAATCGTCATGGCAGCCCAGAGAGTAGGAAAAGAGAATTCCAGCTGAGCTGTTCACTCAACAGAGAGCTGTATGATGCAAAACCTTGAGGGAGGAAGAGCTGCGAGGAAAAGACCTTGGTTTCAGCTTGGTTTCAGCAGGAGCCTGCTAAGCTCAGGTATGAGCCAGCTGTGCTGGTGGATTGACGATACAGGACAGGGATGCTAGGTTGTTGTTTTGGAGCAACTGGGTGCCCTGCAAAGTCTATTTGTGTCCATTGAAAGCAGAGTGCCAGAGGCAGATGGAATATGTTTCTCCTCTCTTCTAGCTCCCAGTCAATTCACACAACATGTAAGACCTTTCCTTTACTGTGCAGCTTCTCCAGACAAGACTGTCAGAGGTCTGTGGGGTGGGCTAGAGGCAGGATCACTGTCACTTCCAGGCTGTGGTTGGAGGCAGCTAACCCCGAGGCTGCTCTGGAGAGCCAGTCCCATTCTTGTTCGGTCATAGAGAATGTGCCAAGCAAAACAAACAGTGCTTGAGGTTAAGAAGCTCAAAGTCTTCTAGGATCACAAAACCCAATCGCTGCATTTGCTGTTCCAAAATCATGACAGAGAGTGGCAAGTAGCAGGAGGTCATGGAGATAAGTAGGAGCCAGCTGATGCAACACTGAGGCTGATGGAGGGGCTGTTAGTCTAGAGCCAGCACAAAGTGGATGTGTTTTCCTTCCCTTGTGCTTATGCTGCTCTAGACAGCAGCTTACTGACAACTGAAGAGGTGTAATCACAAAACCAATGGGCCAGTACCCAAAGTAAAAGTGACACCCAAATATTGGGTCTTGGTAGTAGGTGTGAGGTAGTGTGCTGACTCACACAGCCTTGGGGCTGCTGCTGCAGCCGTGAGAAGTCTCTGCTTAGAGCTCGCTGCCTGTAGTAGGATAGTGTGACATACATGGACAGGAGGAAGTGGAACGTAATGCTGGCATTCATAAGATCAAGCAGTTACTTGGGCTGACAAGCTCAGTTTGAATTGCAGAAATGTCACATCTTCACCTACGAGGGCATGAACTTCTCGTGGCAGGGCCAGATGGCGAGGGACTGGCTCTAGCTGTTGGGCTGGGGCCATGCTGCAAAGTCTGATTTGAAGAGATAAAAGAGGGCAAAAAAACATGTTTACAGTCTGTGTTATGGTACTTCTGGGTACTTGACACTATTTGTAGGTGTTGTGGTACTTTAGGAGTAAATGACAGGTTTTACATCAAACACATGAAACTTGAGGCCATTCCCAGATGATGACATCAGTCCAGGTGCAAAGTGTCAGTGCCCCACACAGCTGGGAATGTAGAGCAGTTGGTAACAGTTGATTCTGATCTTCAGCTCTTCAGTTTGTCCATTTCCACCTGTAGCATTTCTGCAGCTCCTCCTGGCATGCCTTCCATGCTGGTATTCACAAGCGTGCAGGCTGATCTCACCTGGAATCTTGCCTTAGCATCTGAAGTGTTTTATCTCCATTCAGCTGATGTTTATCTTGTCATAAAATTTCCCATGGCTTATCAGCACTTGACAATTAGATGCTTAACATCCCACTTAATGCAAAACAGATTATATCCTGGGAATTAACAAAACAATAAAATGCCTTACGGGAAAAGGGAAAATTGTATGTAGATACGTGTGTGAGTGTATGTACACACATACGTGGTTGTGCAATCTGGTGATGCTGCTGTGCTCTCACTGCTTGATTGGTTTCATGCTCATTCCTACACCTGGTATATATTTATGTGCCACCTTCTTTGAGCAGGAATTGTGTTGGCTGCTGGCCTTATGGAGGAGTAATGAGGGGCCACGGTTCAGGGCTGGAGTTGAATAGGGGCTGCAAGGGTCCCGCTGGGACTCTGGGCTTCCAGGGCATGTTCTGGGATGGTTCCTGAGGTCTTGGACCAGGTTCTAGGGTTCCCAGAACCCTACGGTTAAAAGTAAAAATAATAGCACTCAGAAATGCATTTTAAAAAATATCTAAAGAGAAGAAGCCACTTTGGTATGTTGGAACAGAACAGAGGGCTAGGCAGCCCCTGCTGCTGCAAGCCAGAGGAGGAACTCAAGCTGTGCTCAGAGCTTGCCTTTGTGCCCTGGACACTCCTGTGGGGAACAGAGCCCAATTTGAGGCTTAAGGATTCAAATGCAATCTCCATGGCTCTGCGTGGTCCTGGCCTGCCCACAGTGCTCCCCATCACACATGGATTGGAGCAGAGGCTTACGTTTCCCATGAGGAATGCTTGCAATGCTCTGTCTGCACATTGTTTGGTAATTGCTGGTCTTTTGGCTCCCTGCCTTCAGAGAAGAAGAAATTTCTCTTGCTCTGGTCACCCTTCCAATAACTGACCAAACGCAGTAGCTCAGATCCTTGCACACAGTGCTAATTCATTTAACTGTGGTTCCTGCTGCAGCAGTGTTCTGCAGAGCCCCATGGAGGCAGCAGCCCTGTGATGCCACCATTCGTGCCCTACAGCACATATATATCCGTCAGGCAGAGCACTGTTACCACTGTTCTGAAATATGAGGATTTCTCAAGTAGAACTTCACTAAAGATCAATACCATTTTACTGAGGGGGGAAACTGAGGAGCGGAGCTTTTATCTGTGGTTGTTCTGCAGGAATAACCCACAGCTCTTGGCATTTGGCTGTGCCCGCACTTTCCTGTGGCCAGGCTGACCTTTGTGAGCACTAGAAGCACAGCTATGGCAGGCAGCTCACTTGAGCTCTCCCTTCTGGGATCTGGGCAGGTTTTGTAATTGCTGGAAGAGCCAAACACTCTTTCTTCAGTCTCTGATTTTCCTTCAGCAACCAACTTTCCATCCTGATTTCTCATGTCTTCACCTTTCCCTTCCATGTAACGCCCAGCTGATACTTGTTAGCAAAACAATCCTTTTATTGATGCATGTGCAATCAGCAGAAATGCCGAGCAGTTGCAGAGTTCAGCTTACTCTATGAAATCACTCATAAATGTGCTTTATTTCACTGCAGCTATTCTTGTGCTCAGTCTTAAGCATGTGCATAAGTCTTTTGCAAGTCCTTGGCCCCCTCAGTCCCAATTGGGTCACACTGATTACCAAGTAATGGCAGGATGAGGGAGAGACTCTCACTGGGATCTC